ACAGGAGATCACAAACTGTATTATTATTATTGAGAGACAGGCTCACTTTCTGTTCCTCAGGCTGGGACAGGAGATCACACACTGGACTGCAGCTCAATTGTGTTTCCTTCCCCAGTATAATTGGAAACTGTTTTGATTCTAGCACATATGGGAAATCTGAGATTACATTCTAGGGAAGAATGTTTAATCCCAGAGTACAGTATTTCTCACAGTGCATCAAAAAGTGTCTCTGTCTTTATGTCTCCGTGCTGGCTGTAGGAGCAGAGTCTGTCCTCTCTGTCCAGCCAGGTTTGCCTGTGTCCAATGTCTATGTCCAGACTAGGGTTACTAATCCTGTTCTTCTTTCCTACACTAGTCTTAGCTGTCTCTTTCCTTATACAGACTCAGTACAGTCCTGTTGTCAGTAACTCACCCAGTACACTGACAGAGGACAGAAGTAGAAGAACAGGTTTCATTTCTCTTCATTAGTTGTCTGCCTGTAATAACAAGAAGAGTTCTAGTTTTTCTCTATCCTCCTCCCCTCTTCCCTCATCATTCTGTCAATCGCTCTTTCTTCCTCTCACATTTTGTCTTCCCATTCAGATGCTTGTAGATGTTTAGACTGTCTGTAGCTCTTGGCCTCATGCTGCATGGCTATTGAACAGTGTTGGGCCAGATCCTAGTGTTCCTACACTCATTGATTGTTAACTCATTGATATAGAAATGGAACAGTGCTGTGTCAGGAGCTCAGACTGTTCTCACACCTCTGTTAGCTCATTGATATAGATACTGAGTAATGTTGGGCCAGGAGCTGCAGCACATGTAGATATTTGAAAGTGCTGAATTCCCAGCCCACATGCCCGAGTCAAGAATGTATCACTGTTCTCCACATGCATTACATTCATGATGTTCTTTCACCCTCTGCACCACTGAGAAAAGGTTTGTAAAACAGTCCACCGTGCCAAACTGAGGCAAAACCTTTCTTTACAATTGCGGCGGGCCAGCAGTAGAGAGGATAGTGGTTTCAGCTGTGCTGCCACTATGACTGTCATCAAGGCCTCTATTGTTCATATGTGGTGCATTTATTGATTAATTATGTAATTGCTGAATAGCTGTGAACCACATTCTCACATGGGGTTAATTTAGAATTTCGGTACATAAAGAGACTCCTGGGGGTGGCTGGTTTTAAGCAAGATGTACATGTTGTGTATAGTTTGGTAAAATGAAGTCTGCTCTCATGTTGTTTTGGTCCTCCCCCCAATGGGGAAGGAGAGGTAGGCCTGTCACAAAAATCAACAAAGCAAATAAAGAATGTCTTCATTTTTTTCCCTGTTGTGTTTATGGGCATCACAGTGGTGCAGCAGTTGGCATTGTTGCCTAGCTGGGGCCCGGACTTCATTTATGGAGTAAGGGTGCTATTTGTGAGGAATTTGTTCTCCGTGTATTTGCATAGGTTAATTCTGGGGAAACTGGTGCTGGTATGTCTATATGTTTTTGTCTGTGTGTCCCCTGCGATGTACTGTTGTCCCAGCGAGGGTGTATCTTGCCTTGTGCCCATTGCTTGCTGGAATGGAGTCATGGGGGCTCCAGAGCCTGAGTTGGATGAAGTGGTTAGAAGCACTAATAAACATTGGTGAGTGTACTTGTAGGGTGTAAGAGGGATTGGATGAGCATTAATTTGATAGCCAATCTGACTTTCACTCAGGACACTAAAGCAGAGTAGTCATGAACCAATCTCTCCTGTGTTGACTTCTTAAAACCCCAGACTGTCTGATTTTATGGATGGGGAACTGACCAGTGTCTTTAAATCCAATGCAACCCGAAAACCTTGAGTGCAAGACCTGCAGTGAGATATACATGTCTCGGTGAGATAGCTGAAAGCAGACCGTATTTTAACGGAACACAGCACTAACATTTTAATTAGTAAATTATGGGTGCAATTGTAGGTTTAGAAAGACCCACCAACACCCTTCCTATCTCTCAGCCAGAGGTGTGTGTGTGCTGTGTGCAGAGTCCTGCTAGAATACGTTTGGTTCCATTAAATGTGTGAGGGTGAGGGATGAACTCAAGAGCCCAGGAAAGGTTGTGAAGGATCTTATCCAGCTATTTCTTGAAAGAAGATAGGAAATCTTCCTCACAAGCATGGCTGGGCATCTGAAGGAGTTCACAGCATACTCGGCTGCTCAGAATCTGTTTTCACAGGTTCTTCAACACTGATGAAGATACAGTAGTGTTGAAAGTGTTTTTCTATATTGCCCAGTAGATTAAACTGCTGAAAGCAAATTTCTTGAGTGCAGCTAGGTGCACTTTCTTTATTCGGGGCCAACAGAACAAACATGTTTTGCAAAATGTTTGGTGGTTGATGTATGAATGCAACCCCAGGTGTCAGCAGTCATTCAGGGATTTTGGCTGTTAGGGTCCAACTGCTCTACAGATCCCATAGCTTGCCCTATGTCAGTTCTGCGGAGTTGGTTGTCAGCCCAGCTTCAGAAACGTATGGAGGAAAGTCTGTCAGGCTGGAGAGTGTCTCAACTTCAACTATTCTTGCTGCAATAAAATCTCAAGGTCATGAACTTCAAAAGGACGGTTGAAGCCAGGAAGACGTTTATTGATGGTGAATGATCCGGAGGGACAAGCTCACTAGCAAAATGTATAGTGGGCATCCCCGTAGGAGAGGAAAAGGGGTGACCCACAGAGTTTGTAAAAGGCTTAATTCCCAAACTTCTTGGGTGGGAGAAATTTGAGACAGCGGTAATCATGGACAGGGTTGTGCTGCTGCTGTGCTGTGGCTCGAGGGTATTGTTCTACCCCAACTAGACAGGCGATATGATGGTATGGAAATGCTCACGAAGGTGGTAAAACTATGGATCTACCATGACTCAATAGAACAAACACGAGTTGCTGTGGTAAAGGTTTCACAGTATCAAGGACCCAGAAAAACGTCTAAGTGACTTACTTGTGGACTGAACTGGGATCCGATCAAATGGTGATCCGAGTTAGGTTAAAAAAAAGAAGAAATCTGTGGTTATTTTAGTGGAATCATAGCAGGCAGCTCTTTAGGGATTATATAGTGTGCTAGCAAGTCCATCCTGCTTTGGGATGTTGCAGTTCCGTTTGGAGAAAACTGCAGAGGTGGGGGTTTGGGGATTTGCTAAGTTCTGTTAATGCCAGAGGGTAACCTTTTAATAATCACTGCTTGTGCCCTTAAACCCTTATGTTTCTGTCACTAATAATAGATGCAAAGAGTTAATATTGGTACAGTCAGTTTAATAGCTTTACCTTTGCATTTTGGAATGTTACATTTATTGTCATGGAATAAAGAGGGAAAAAAATGTGTGTCCTGCTCTCAATATTCTTTATCTATATTTTTCTTGCTCTTTTCAATTAGTCATCTCCTCTGCCTCTCTGTTTTTCAACATAAACCGGTGTGTTAATAGTTCATACTGCTGTTGACATAACCTCCACAGCATGTTACTAAGACGGCCCCTGCACTGTTCACTTTCTTGTCTACTCTTACACTGCAGCTTGGCTCAGCAACTGGTATTCTGGTATTCTGCAAAATATTAATCTCAATCATCAAGACACTAGACTGAGGCTCTCTCAAAGTGAATTCTACATATATCCAAACAGATCCAACCCCCTAAAGCTTGTACATAATTAACTTAATCGTTAAAGATTCTGCACTGGTCTTTTGAGGGGTTTGGACAGCTAATCCACAAGGCTAGGCTACAATTCCCTCAGCTAGGCAAGTCACACCAAATACTCTCTACACACATCATCTCTCTATGACATTCAATAGGGTCTAATTGAAGTAATGAATTATGCTGTTGTGATGTGAGGGATTTAATTTACAGAACCAAATAGGAATTGTAACTGTAAATTGCAACAGTGGTTCGAAGACTGTCAGAAATCAATCAACCACAATAATTGTCTCGCACATGGATTCTAAATAGACAACATACATTTTATTGATATAGCAACAAAACAGACAAAAGAGAAATCATTCTGTCTGGGATTTCAAAGACAAGAATTAGTAATGTCACAGTTAATTTAGTAATGTCAGAGTTAATATGTATGACTATAACACTTATTGATATGATTATACGTAATACTTATTATTTGCCCAATAGGTTATATCAGTCTTCTATATAGATAATCACATTCATATTCTCATAGACTAGTATATATTAATTAGCTAAATCAAGCACGTTTGGAATAATAGTTTCACACTTGAGAGTTGTAATGTGAGTCCTGAGCTTTTGGGTTTTGGTGAGTTTTGAACTTCCTGCTGAAGACGGAGCTGGGCTGTGTTGTCTGTGATCGAGCACAGAGCAAGCAGGTGATTCTGAGAGTGTCCCAGTGCTAGAAAGAGAGAGAGGGAGCTCTTTAGCATTTTAGCATTTGCTGAGGGCAGCTCTACAATGCAGGTACTGTAGCATTTTGCAGAAGTTAAGTTTTTTTTTTTTAGGTCTGTGCACAGTGGTCTGCTCGGATCCAGTCACAAGGGTGGGAGAAGCTCCGATGATCCTGGTTATACCTTTACTGAAAAAGCTCTGTTATTCAGAATGTCAACAAATAAGACCAACTGTCTTCATTTCTTTGATCAGACAAAAACAACAATTGGTTTGCAAAACAGATTTCTTCTGTTGCAGAGAGAACTGTGGGTAGAACTCTGCTCTTTACTGACGCGCTCTCTAGGCTTGGCACCTTGAAGAAAGTCTTGACTTGGACTTCTTGACTTGGACTGTCAGTTTGCATGGTTATTAGGTTATTAGGACAATTATTAGGTGTAGTTTTTCTATCCACTCTGCAGGTTCCTCATTGTTTGGTCATCTTATGGGTGATGGACCTCTTATGCACAGTAATGGGTCTCAGACTGAGAAGAGCCATGATGCAGAACTGGTGTTTACTGACTCGCTCTCTTGTCCTGGCATATATTGATGGGGCTTTGCAGAATGCACCAGTTTGATCATGTCCTTGTCTGTGTTACAAACCTGAGATACTGTATGCTTCTTATCACAAAGGCCCCTTTTAGCTGTTATAGAAAGAGGTCCAAAGTGCTTTCTCAAAGCAACAGAAAAATTAAATCTTTAGTAACAGTTCATTCTTAGTATAATATTTTGCCTGGCCGCTACAATTTCCTACACAGCAAGTCTGCTTTGACACACCACACCCTGGTAATTCTGCGGTGCGAGGTGTCCGACAGTGATCATTCAAATAATTACTAGTAATGTGAACAAATAACAAATGTCCAGATACAGTTTGAAGGTAAAATCTAAGAAGAGTTAAAACAAATCACCATGGTTTGCAGAAATCTATACTATTCAACAATGTGAAAGCTTTCTGTGACTTTTTAATGTGAACTAACCTAAGTAATATGCTTGAAACCATTAGGCTTTCGGAGCCTCAATATTTAATTTCACTCTAAGGAATCTGTGATTTAGATCATGACCAACGATGTTCTACAATCCCTTAATACTTACACTGATGTATGTCTACTGCACATCTTTTAGTGCCGCGTCTTTTTTTCTTTCCCAATCGGCAGGGATTTTACCCAGGCCTGTGAATTTGTACCCATATTTCTTCTCCAGCTGTGATCTGAAAGTGCAGATAAACCATTTCCAGTAGGACTGTTCGCTGCCATCTGAAGTGATGCTCCATTTGTCATAAGGGGCTCCAGCAGTTCTGTATTGCTTGAAAGGAATCCATCCTTTACAAGACTTGAATGAGATATCGGCGGTAACTGCTGTGGTGCAAAAATAAAGTGAAAAATTATCTGTTTTATAGAAAGACCAGCCGGCCAGAGCTGAAGGACGGTGAAATTGGACACTGTGGTCAGTACTATGGTTAAGGATGGTGTTAGTACAGATGGCTTTACAGAAGGGACACTGCTCCCAGCACCCACTGAGGGCCTTACACAGAATCTCATCAGGTCTCTGTCTGAACATTGTTAAGTCAATTCTGCTGTTTTCTTTCTTAAGGTTTTCCAGTATCTCACCAAGAGAACGGGCCATCATTTCTCCGAGAAACTGCAGGTCTTTAACAACTTCATTTTCAATGTTTGTGAATTCCTCTCGGGGGAGCGACACATGGTCTCCCACTGCTGCACAGAATTCATCCAGCCACGCGGAGGCGCCGCTCTGCTTCTCCTTCACGGCTGCAGTGACCATAGTGCTCTCTCTTAAGATCTGCTGCACTAGATCATCCAGATTGGTAAGAAACATCTTTTTCAGCTGATCTTTGTTGTCTTCACAGTATCTCTCAACACGCTCCCCGATGAACCTTTCAAAATAATGCTTTGGGTGGTTAATATATTCCATATAGGAGTCAAAGTCCTCCTGCTCAGCGAGGTGTTTCAGAATGTGGTTTTCCAGATTGGATCTGTTACCATTAAAAGCTGGATAGTTCGATTTCATTTTATCGGTAATCTGGATGCAGGTTTTATCACACACTTCCTGCTGAATCGCTGGCTTGAGGCGTTTGCACAAAAAATCTACAAAGAACCTGACAGATGTGGCTCCTTTACAAAAGCTCTTAAAACAGTCAAGGTACTCATCCCTCTTACTCTCAAGGTAAATCAGAGGATCATTGGCTCTCTTGAAGGCTGTGTGCATTTTCTCAAACCGTCCCACGACCGTGGTGCACAGATGGACAGACAATTCAAACTCGTACTCGTTTGTGAATATGTTTTGTTCTAAGAATTTTTCATATTCATTTATGTCTCCTTTTATAAGCCCAAGTATTTCATGGATGAAGTTGTCATTGAAATCCACCTTTTCATTTTCTTTCTTCTCCATGTATTTATTGACATTGGTTCGTATTTGTTGAGTGAGTTCATTCCCATGAATCTCCCACTGTGGGTCATGAGAAGTAACTGTGTTCCATGCTTTTTGATACCAGGTCTGTTTCATGTGTTTTTTCTTATTGAACTGGAAAATTTTCTCTCTCTTCACAATCGTATTGATAACATCTCCCTGGTTCTTGAATTTGTCCAGGAGGATGTTCTCCACTCTGGCTTTGACATTCAGCTGTTGCTCAGGGGGCTGTTCTGAGGACACTCTGGTCACCCAGTTCACCCAGAGTCTGTCAAACTGCTCCTCCATTTTCTTATCGCTAAGCTTCTGCTCCTTCAGTCTAGATGCCAGATCTTTGCTCATTGTAATCAATTCTGCCTCATATTCTGATTTCTTCCTGTCCAGCTCTGTTCTGCATTTCTTGAGTCTGATCAGCTCACTGCACTGCTTCCGATTTTCTTCAATGAGCTCATTCCTCAAGCTCTCAAATCTCTTGTCAACGTTCACCTTCCAATTAATTAAGATCTCCTGGTACTTTTCCTCTTTAAAGTACTTCTCTATTTCATCTGTCAGGGTTCTGTAGACCTCATCAAATTCTCTCATCAGATCTGTTGATGTCACACCATGAATAATTTTATTCGTAATTTGGTTGCGCAGTCTGTTCTGTACCTCCAAGGCTCGTTTTCTCATCTTCCATGACCACTCTCCATACTTGTCCTCCAGTTTACTGTAAACCATCATTTCCAAAGTGTTTCTGAAGCTGAAAACAAAGTTCTCCCCCAGCAGGGCATTCCAGAGATCTCGGATCCGTAATTTAAAGTCTGACAATAAGGGAAACTTCACTCCTGGCTTCCACTGAGCGACAGTAAGCAGCTTCATCTTCAGGTCCTGGACATTCTGGCTGTAGGAGGGGTTGGGAGGAGCCATTGGAGGATCTCCTTCCAGAAGGTTTTTGAAGTAGTAAACCTGTGACTCCACATCAAACTGGATTATATCACCAAAGCCAGTAATTTCAAAGCCTTCTTCTCTGGCTGCAATGCGAGCCATTTCATCTAGGCTCTCCTGTAGACGCCTCCTTCCCTCCATATTCATGTTATTTGCTGAAGCTTCTGCCACATTCTGGTGCACAAAAATGCAATTAGGTTTTATCTGGACAGATTTCATTCTAAGGAAAGCCTGGACACAGATCTGGAGAATGTCTTGCATTTCAGATGGATTCTCTCCCATGATGTTGATGAGAGTTATGTCACCAATCCCAATAATAAAAGTTGCTAATTCATTGTCGTGGCTCAGTGTGGCTTTATTACTGAGCTCTGGTGATCGAAGTCCTTCTGTGTCCACCACAAGGACAAAGTCATACTGCAGCTGGGCTCGGACATCCTCACTCACTCTCAATAATTGCATGAATGCTCCCCTGGTACACCTTCCAGCACTAACTGTGAACTGCAGGCCAAACATTGTATTCAGCATTGTGGACTTCCCTGAGCTCTGGACACCAATGACAGAGAGGACAAACACCTTTCCGTTTTCAAGTCTCTCAGTGAGTTTGTCCAGCACGGCCTCAATCCATACCAGAGGCACATGAGCAGCATCTCCGTCCATCAGCTCCAGAGGATATCCTGAAATCAAGATCTCCACTCCAATAGCAGGAAGGACATTAGCATGCCATCTGTAATCTTCTAGACCCTGTCCTTCTAATTGAACTGCCTCGTACAACTGAGCAATTTCTCTCATGAGGTGTTGAAGTCCAAGTGTAGCTGCACTAATCTGTTCAGATATTGAGCTCAAGTCTTTCTGCAGTTTCGTCTCCTGCTCCTTGTCCTTAGTCTTTTCTTTCTGTCTCAGTGTTGTCCATGTGGAGTGGTATTTCTCTTGAAGCTCAGTCAGGGTGTCTGTGGTCAGTTCGTCTAGATACATTCTCAGCCACTGCAGCATGAACAGTTTATTATCTTGTGAATCTTCAGAGGTTAAACACTCCAGGAAGGATCTCATGAAATCATTGAGAGGGAAGGCTTTCTTCAGCTGTTTACGGCGGAGGGCTATTTTCTCAGCTCTGATCTCGCTCACCTGCTGTTCGATGCTTTTATTTGCTTTGCTGTGCAAACGATGCTGTTCTTTGTCCTTCATGCACCACTTATGCCACAGCTCACCCTGCAGTGGTAACAGATTCTCCTTGATGCACAACAACTCATTTTCTTTCAACAGCCCCAATAAAATCTGGGCCTTTTCCTTCCCTTCTCTGCAGGATTTATAGTCTTCATCCACCCTGAACTGCCGTCTCGCCGCCTGTAAGACTGTTTGCAAGCTGGCAGTTGTGCTGTGAGTGGAGAGAATGTGTTTAATGTGTGAAATGATCTCATCAGTCAGATCAGATTCATTCCTGCTCTTAGCTGCCAGTCGTACTCTGGTCGGATTGTTTGAATGGGGAACGTTCTCCATTCCAGCTAATAGACAAATCAAGGGGACAGAAGAGTTTAAAAGAGTTTGAGCTATCTTCTTCATGTCTTCATCCAGTGAAGTCTCTGAGATCAGAACTACAATGATAGTGCTGACCTCCTGGAGAAACTGCAGCTGTTCTGGGTGTTTGCTGGCATCACCGTGGAGGTTCAGAAAAGCCACACAGTTTTCAAACACATCGTCCTTCCTGCCTCCTGGACAGTACCAAGTGATCTCCACCACCCCATCCATGAGTAGGCAGTCTGGGGAGCCACCTCTGCAGTGCCGATGGAAAAACACATTGTGTTTCTTTGGGCTGATGATGTTGTTCAGGATCTGGGATTTGGAGACAGAGGATGATCCCAGCCGGATGAAGGATACAGTTGGCACTTCAGTTTCAAACATGTCCTTGCTGTTGTGTTTCACAGTGCTGCCTCTCTCAGATGACTCCTTACTGCACCATGATCTCTTGATCTGTCTCAGGGCCCACAGAGGGAACTCCACTGCCCCAGTACAGGGGCTAGGCACCAGGAGGGGTAAGGCGAACTGACAGGTGGAGACCTTTGAGAAGAGGTACGGCCTCAGAAAGTTGCCAGAGCAGTGGAACACAGCCATGTGGACGTCCATGGGGTGAATGTGTGTCACTTTATCAGAGTCTTGGTCATCACAGGTAGTGAAATTCTGGACGCCAGGATTGAAAAAGTCATCACTGCATATGATGGCATCGATTGCGTTTTGGCTTGGTGTAGACCTTTTGACAGATTCAGCCACACGAACTTTAAGAAACATACTCCTGTAACTATAGTCCAACATCATGAGCTTGTAGAGATAATGAAAGCACAAGTCCTTCTCAGTTTGTGGCTGGCTGGCACAGCATGACAAACTGTTGATAACAAGCACATCAGTTTTCTTCATCCTACATGGATATGAATCCCTGAGCCCAAGTTTTTGTAGCAGGTTCATAAAAGCATCTGTTTTGTTATTCACAGCCTTACCAGAGTGTTCTTTCACTGTGTCTGGATGACAGTCCTGCTGGACTGAGGACTGGGACACATCGTAACATGAGTGGCTGCTCTCCGAGAAAGAGACCTCCTGAGAGCATGTTAAATTCTTCAGGTCTTTCACAATTTCTTCCGTTCCAACATTTGTCCCCTTCTTCTCAATAATGAACATTAGTTCTTGCTGAAGTCTTTCCCAGTCCTGCTGTTCATTTACATAAGCCACTGCCGAGAACACATCAGGATACATTTTGTCTTTCAGCTGTGATTTTAGGAACTGTAGTCGCTTTTCTTTGTCCTGTGAGGAGACTGACTGTTCATCTCTGGATACTGTCAGAGCTGTCAGCACTAAGTAGGCCTGAGCTCTTGCAGGAGCTTGTTCTTTCAGAGAGCAGTACTTGTCATAAGCCTTCTGGAGCTCATTTTCTAAAACATCAACGTCTTTCCAGTCCAGAAGATAATTGAAAGTTTTATTCTTCAAGCTGTATCCTAAGGAAGTGATGATAGAAAGTACCAGCAGCTCTGTTTCCTCCTCATTGTTCTGTACTAAAGTCTGCCGCAAGGAGGTCAGGGAGAATGTGATGGTATAGGTGGCTTTGATTTTGGCCTCACGCATGTTTACAGAGTCACTGAGTGCAAATTTGGAATCTTGCAATTCCTCCTTTGTTTGCTTCAGGATTTCTGCCAGTTCAGAGAACTCCGAAACAGAAATATCTCTGTGTATTTCCTCCTTGTTGTGGTATACCCATTTCATGATTTCAGCTCTGTTAGGGAAGTTTTTCACTGTGTACAGGTGAGGCTCCATGAGAGAGCGCACCACCATTCTCAGGTTTATTGCTTCCTCAGGATTGTGCTTTTTAACAGCTTCCAACAAAAACTCTTGCATGTCCTCGTTTGAGAGACAGGTCTGAAACCAGATTTTGTGGGATCCCGTTTTTTCTCTCAGTTTTATCTTGAACTGCAGTAAATCAGTCAGAATCTGTTTACTGTTGGACACAGCCCAGTTCACCTTCTGAATCAGTGCCTGAGCCTGTCTCTCTGCTGACAGCACGTTCTCTCCTGACATCAGGTCTGCATCCTGCCCTGTGATCCTTCTGTAAGCCTCCACAAGCCAGCTGCTCAGTTTGAAAGGGTCTTTGAAGTCTTGTGTGTGAGCAGATAGGATGATGTCCCACACAGGAATCAGCCTGGTTCCTCTGTCTATCACATGCCATGTTCTGTTACTGCTGACCAGAGCACATTTCCACTGCAGGTGATTGTCGGTTTGAGCAGGACCCCCAGTTTTAGTGACAGAAAGCTTCACTTTACTCATCTGAGTTTCTGTGTAATTCCCAGTAAAGGATCCTTTCAGCTCTGTTGCAGAGGTGCTCACTCCGATTGAAATGGATGACATTAGTCCACTGTATCCTGCGCCAACATAGATATTTAAGGCTTCGGATGTCAGGCTGTTCATCTTTGTAAGATCACTGCTGCTGAAACCCTCAGCAGAGGCCTTCCACCAGAAGACGCCACCAAAGTGAAGAGGACCCTGGTTAGCATGGGAACCAAATCTCTGGAAAAAATGAACAACTCTTTCTATTAACAAAAGGGTCACGTCATCCTCATCAGTGTTTAACAGCACTGTTTCTATGTCTCTGAGGTCTCTCATGGCAGCACTTGACAGCTTCAGTTTATCCTTCTCAAGAAAGCTGGATGCCAGTGGTACATAATTGAACATTGTTTTCCATATGTAGGAGTGTTCAGACGAGGATTTGCTTGATTTCTCCTTCTCTGTAGAGTGTGATTTTTCAGCTGTGTTTTCAATAGAAAAGGCCTTGAATCCAGCTTTCACTGAGCACCTGAATGTGTAGCCGAGCTTCTCCACGACCTTCTGGAAAAGCGTCTGCGTTTGATAAGACGAAAACTCTTCCTGCTCATAAAGGGAGCTGTGCTGGGGTCCACTGAGAGTGAAGCCCTCAGGGACCTCAATGAGCTGCTCTCTCTTCTCCACCATGTCCTCCAGATTCCTGGTGCAGTACACTCCCTCCAGAGCCAAGCCTCCAGACGCGCTTCTTAACACCTCCTCATCAGCAACGTTTCCGGGGGAAGACAGGGAGGAGCCTTCCAGAAGACCAAGCTGTTTGTGCAGATTTTCCACCAGGTTTTTCAGAGGTTGTCCAGCAGGTACCCAGCACTCCTGGGGGATGTCAAGAGCTGAGCGGATCTTCTCTTCCCGTTCTTTCACCAGAGCACTGTTTCGGTCTATGCCTTCCCTGTGCAGTTTCTGGAGCTCAGCCAGATCCCGTTTCACCTGCTCTACTCTCTTCATCAAAGGGTCCTGCTTCTCTAGTTGTTTTTTCTTTAAACCCAGCATCTCCCGCAGGGCCGCTCTTTCCCATTCGTGTGTGCTGTGCCCTTTCAGTTTTTCATAATCTTTGTCTCCCAGATACTGCAGTGCTCTTGTGTTTCGGACACTCAGGACATCTTTAAAAACCTGTGACCAATAAACTCCGTCCAGGCCAGCTTTCTCAAGCTCTGCCGCAAGATCGGTGCCAGGGTTGTTTTCAGCTGTCCTGGCCATTTCCTTCTGTTCCTACTGTCGAATTAAAAGAAGATCAACCACATAAGCATCACCAGTGTAGACGTGGTTTCCTGTAACATAGAAAACAGAAGAAAATAGAAAAGCAGGTTATTAACAGAGTGATCTGCTCATCTAATGTTCTTTAAAATACATTGTGGAAAATACTGTTACATAGTCACTTGTTTATAAATGTCTTAAAAAGTCTGAAGATGTGCATCATTACTGTGCTGTAGCCTGATCTCATAGGATCTCAGCAGCCAAGCACAGTTATGCCCAGTCAGTACTGGTGTGACACCTGCCACCCAGTGATGTTACAAGCACATTTCTGCTTAGTTTTAGTAGCCTGGCCAGGGGACTTGTGTTCTGTATTTCTTTCTTCTTTTTAAAATTTATTTGTAAATCACTATGATAGCACTAGTGCATAGGTCTGTCATGCTCTCTTTTTAAAATGATAATAATGTTATTAGTGTTTTGGGTTTACTTGGGAATCACTGGTTGGCAATTGCTTCCATCCCTCTTTGAGGGGTATCTCTTTCCTGAGGCTAAATAACATTAGAACTGTTTGTTTTTTTTTCTCCTTGGCTTGAGGAAACATCCTCCAACCAAGATCTGAGAGTAGGGCACATTTTGAGTGGATCAGTTATCATGTTTTTCTTTTCCTCCTCAAGGAACGGATGGGATATTAGGTTATGGCCTCTGCTGTGAAGGTAATTACTATTTACTTAGGTCTGATTATGGGTTACAAAGTTCGCTCTTCAGGACATACAGTAAATACTACTTGTATTTTTAACAATGTTCAAGTGTTTATGGGCTGAATACGCAATGACAACTTGAAACCTAAGTGGGAGACTTAATCAAACAAAGGAAGAAACATTTTGAAGATAAATCAAAATATCCAGTCAAATATAAAATAACCATACAGTATAATACTATACAGATGAAGCCATTCAAAACGAGCGGGGTATGCTGTGGTACAATGTGGTGGGAGTGTCGCATCTAAACGCGTCTTAACGCGCCCTACCGTATGCAAATAAGATTATGTTAATATTATCTAGAGTCACCTTGTAAAACCGCCAGGTGGAGCTAATAAAGTTTAACCTGTCATGTGCAGCATTTGAGCTGTCACCAGAAAACAATCAGTTTCGAATCCTGATCACTGCTGAGGGACAATCTTTATTCAATGAAGAATTTAAGTTGTATACTCTTTAGGCTTTTAAATTTAAACTGTGTATTACAGCATTTTAATCATTATACATTAAAAAGTTGGTATATTTTATGAAAGCAAGATTGCTCAGTTGGACAAAAGTACACGACCTATCACCTTTATCATAAATATTTTAATTATGTAGAAATATTTTATGCATTAAAGTCTTTACTGAAGATATTACTAATAGTATTAATAATGAATGACCTTGGACAAGCTGTAAACTCACAGTATTACCATGGTCCACATTCTTTGTAACCATCTTTGTAAATGAAAAGACCACAGCATTCCGTTGATCCGATCACGCATTCGTTTCCAATCATACAAAGTAATTCTTGAGAATCTCTAATTCACCATGCCTTTCACATGCTCATAAAAGATATTAATTTAGGAACATAAACATATTACCGTATGTAAACTGTACTGTATATGGCTGGTCTTGGTAGTTTAAAGAAAAAATACACACCAGTATTCCATTTCTCCCTTAACATTTTAAGCATCAAAGTCTTACCAATACCAGCTATATACAGTTTACATAATATTCTTATGTTCCTAAATTAATATAGTTTATGACCTTCAGATGCGTTATGCTCCTCTTCTTTTTATGCTCAGCTACTAAAAATTCCCTTTAGTGGTAAAATTCCATATAAATATTCAATACTAAGCGGATTAAAATGTGCACAGTAAAGAGATTAAATGATTAAAAATTTTCACTACTGACCAATGCAGCACGAGTGCCCCTGTCAGTCATTTTGGCCAGCCAATCACATACTGCGGTACGGTGCGGTGGCGTACGCGTAGTTGCCCGCAGTATGGGTTTGTACGGTGCATTTTGAATGGCTACATCTGTACAGCTATAGTATATTTATCCCAAAACACCAAATTAGACATAAGCCCGCAATTCTACCAGCACTTACATTAGGTGATGAAAACCACCACATTCATGAAGAAGAAAAAGCAACATCCTCATTCTCACCAATTAGGACTTTGGGAGAACAGGTTGAAGATGTCAACAAATGTTGAGGTGAATGAAGAAGACTCTATTTTACTGAATCAAGGTCTCATTCCGTCAAGATGTATATGGAATTTGGTGTGCTCAGTTTCTCCACAACAAAAGCTGTCACCACCATGTCCAGGGGTCACTCTTCGGGATATAAATGATATTTGTGATTGGGGGGGATTCATTAAAAATGATGGGATTCCTGCTGCAAATAGTAAACACACTGGACAGGACCTAAAACTACACCTCCTCTCCCTTGTCATAAAAACCAGGAATGAAGAGGATCTCCCCCCTGACTTCAAGGTGATAACCTTCAAAGTACTTGAAAATCCAGCTGTGGACTATGGTCATCTGTGCAGAAGTGTACATGAATTTCTCATTCCTCTTGCTGGAGCTACTTCCAGAATCCCATTACGGGCTCAGACCCTCAAGAAGCACAGCTGACAGGAGTCTGTTGGAAGCAACACCAACTACTCTATTTAACTTTAACTTGACAAATAGGGGTGGGGAAAACAAATTGATTCAATTAATTTTTATATAGCGCCTTTCACAGCAAGGTTGCCCCAAGGCACATAACAACGCAACTGACCATACATTTTCATTTTCTTAGATTCTTAGATGCATCATAATTCTCCCTTGTACGATTCTGCATCGATGCACAAAACTCCCTAATCGATCTTTTAATTTTTTTTAATATGCACAGTACTAAACATTTCAGATAAAAACAATACAACGTAAAGTAAAGGACAAAAAGAGCAACTAATAATGGTTTAGTTTTTTGGACAAGTGAGCCATGCTTACATCTGAACTAAGCTAAGCTACCCGCTTTGTGAGGATGGACAAGCTCCGGCCTGCACCCTCCGCTTGGAGAGCCACTGTATGGGCACATTTTTAAAAGGTAAAAATGAACTGGATAAGAGCCATGCAGTGTGCAGGCTGTGTCATACCAAGATCAAATATTTCAGGAATACAACGCACATGGGGAAATCACGTTTCACGTTCCCATCCAGAGCTGGAGTAAACACGGCCAGTTCTTAAGAAATGATAATTCTGTTCATGTTCCCCTTTCAAGGTTGAAACATCAACTCTTTACCAGCAGCCATATCACCCTGTAGCTCACAACTGGCAGCCCCTTGAAGCTAAGCAGGTGTGAGCCTGGTCAGTACCTGGATGGGAGACCTCCTGGGAAAAACTAAGGTTGCTGCTGGTAGAGGTGTTAGTGGGGCCAGCAGGGGGCGCTCACCCTGCAGTCTGTTTGGGTCCTAATGCCCCAGTATAGTGACAGGGACACTATACTGTAAACAGGTGCCATCCTTTGGATGAGATATAAAACCAAGCTCCTGACTCTCTGTGGTCATTAAAAATCCTGGGGTGTTTCTGGTAAAGAGTAGGGGTGTAACCCTGGCATCCTGGCCAAGTTTCCCATAGGCCCTTACCAATCATGGCCTCCTAATAATCCCCATCTCTGAACTGGCTTCATCACTCTGTTCTCCTCCCCACTGAGAGCTGGTGTGTGGTGAGAGTACTGGCGCACTATGGCTGCTGTCGCATCATCCAGGTGGGGCTGCATATTGGTGGTGGTGCAAGGGAGTCCCCATTACCTGTAAAGCACTTTGAGTGGAGTGTCCAGAAAAGTGCTATATAAGTGTAAGCAATTATTATTATTAACTCTTGTGGTTACATACAGATTTAATTTTAGCATTTAGCACAGAAAATACTTTCCAATGCAAAATATCCACCCTACACCACTAATTGGATGCAGGCATTAGTATCCTCTCCTCCACCAAGTACATCAACTACCCAGAGTGTGCTACAAACAGCAAAGTTCCTTGTAGACGGTCATGTGTGATTTATAGAGCACCAATGAATGAGACCAGTTTGGTTTTCCTGTGCTACTTTTGGGGGAATGACTGAGTTCAGGAGCCCCCCACCACCCCCAAAAAAAGGTGCTATATGTCAGGAATGAATGCAGCACAAACGCGACTTTCAATGGCACAAACCAACACAAATGAAGCACATCGTTTGTGCGATTACAGATTCAACCAACTCCTTTCTGTATTTTGAAATGATCTATTTACAACAGGACAGGAAGTATTTCCTTCAAAGAATGTTCTGTCCTGTACTTTTAAAATGTGCCAGACATGTTGAAGCATCATGTGAAGTCATGTCCACCGATGTCCAAACAGTACTGTACATTGTAGACATTAACTACAGTGTACTTCTGATTAGGATCATTCTTGCAGACTGCCTTCATCTACACGCCACTAGCTTCACTGTTCTGCAAGTGACCAGTAAAATGATATTGCATAAATGTTTTTGAGCAGAGAATACTGTACAGTGCCTCCACAGCAAATTGCAATATTAGCAATTTAAATCTACTACCATACAGTACATGATCGACAAAGTAATTTACATAAAAACGTATTTTAATCGGGTTTCTTTTTTGCTACTTACTGTACATGTTTGTTTTAAATACAGTATGATAATGTATGGTTTAGAGCCAGTGCATTATGTGTGTAATTTATTTTAATAATCAAAATCTAAAATTATGGTTTCTAATTCCTTGCTACTATTTACACAAAATGACTAATAGTTCTGTATACTGTGTGTAATAAACAAAATGATAATTATATCAAACAGGGAAGTATGACTTTATTACTGTTATATTGTGATCTACTGTACAGTATCTCTTTCAGAGTTGTGGTAGCAATGTGGTGACCGAAATTGTCTCTAGTACAGTATAATTAGCACGGAAAAGCACTCATAGGTTGATAAACATTTAAGACTGTATTGATTTCCGTGACAGCCAGACAGTGTTGCGGTATTTTAAGGATTCACTGCGCCACCTGACAGTTGTACGGAGTAGTGCAGTCGTGCATCAGATGATCTGAAAAACAATAAGAACGAGGTGGCGCCTGATATCTTGAGGAATCTGTTTTTTATCAATTAAATCCCAATATGTACTGTATGCAGACCTGAATTTGGGGATGGGTAGGGGAAGACCTGAACCCAAAACATTTGTTCAAACAAGGTTTTAGCATCTGACCATGTTATTACATCCATAACCTCGTTTCCACGGGTACTTACGCGTTTTTCCTCGCTCACCTCTGCCCAAAGGTCGTTCAGTAAGATTCAGCTCCTGCCTGCGACCCCGTGCTCGGTTCCGTGACCGCAGCTCAGTTTTTCTGTAACACGATGGCTGTTGGTGCCCTGTGGAACAATTTTCAAACACCTTAAATTTATATTTAACCCAAAATTAGATTAGAGACTGTATTTTCTCAGGCATTTCAGATAAGAGAAAAAAAGCAACAAAAAAAACTATCGAAGTCGGATTTAAAACTTAGAAGAATAATTTTTTTCACAGGACATGAGCTGAGAAATTTTCAAGTACTGCAACGCTGGCTCGCGAACTCCACTTAATCAACTTTCATATCCCTTTTCCCCACAACTGTAAAAACGATTACTTTATTATTTTTTTCCACGCTCAAACGAAGTTAGGTTACCATGATATTATCTACAGTGACGTCTAAAGCAACAAATTATTTAGTTTCGTGTATCTGTATTGTTTCAAGACCTTTAAAACATACAGTAAGCACGGGCGTCCTTGATTAGAATGAGAAGTGTTTCGTTTTCTTTATATGGGAAAGGAATCTTAAACCCCCAGCGCCCTACTTGTTCCATTAAGTAAAAATTCACCATCATTATTGTGTTTTTACCACTGTAACAGAACCGCACAGAACAAGCCATAACCGTATATTTTTTTTTTTACAAGAACAACATATTGTAACGCTTACGGCCGACAAGCACCGTGTGTAAGAGCCGGCGTACCAGAGCAGGTGATGTCACCGCCCTTCCCTGTGATAGCAGGACTACAGCTACTGGGCTGGGGAGAGATCTCTCTTTAGCTCAGGGGGCTGGGTCGCTGCAGAGAGACGCGGAAGTCCCGGGTTCGAGCCTCCAGTCGGGATGGGGCCGACCAGATGCGGCAAGGGGGCCCGCCTGAGCCCCCGTTGCGTTACAATATCAATACGCGCTAGCTGGGCGTCCCCCCTCTGCGGTAACGTAGATCCCACACACGCTACAAAAGTTATTCAAAGGAAGTGGCTTGTCTTTACACATTCGATAAACTCGTTATTTTAAACATGCATATTTAAAACCATTAAACGTATACAGCCACTTGTACCCACTCATATCTAAAAAAAACAGGCCAAGCGAATGTATTTAAACGTATAGATTTAATTGAAATCGCATTTTTCTCCTTATTTCATTATTTGCATTAGACCTGTTGGCGAACAATTCACTTCAGAAGTCAGAGAATAATATTATATATATACAGTATGGTTCTTCCCGTCACTACAAGAAACCTGGACTGGATGCGAATGATAAAAACCGAGACGGCAATCTTTGCAATTAACATTGCAGCAATGCTTTCTCCGTTAAGATTAATTTCAAACCTTTAACTTACAAGCAGGATACGATTTTGCGATAGAGACATCCAAACCTGCCTTTTAAGAGAAGTTTCTGCCTCCCGTCACCCGGCACACCTGCGTACCCGAGGATGTGCCCGGTCTGGTGGGTCTGAAGGCGAAGACGTTCGTGACCCGGTTCTCTGCTTTGGCGCCGATTCGGTACTGTGACCGAGCCGTCTGCCCGCCGGATGACTCAGGAAACTGGAAAATATTTATTTTCGCTTTCGAGTTTCGTAATGGCGAGAACAGGATAGAGAAAACCGCATGAACTCTAGGCGGAAGGCCAGCAGAAAATATAACAAGCTTCCCATAAAGGAATAAACACTGGCATCGAGCCAGGAATGTCTAGAAATGTCTTATGTACATTAACTCAAAAGCTTTTCCTGTTAATCCGTGCAGTACCGAGAAACACGGGACGTTAGCCCACTGCACAACAGCACAATAAAATCCTCCACGGTTTGAATAGCTGTGTATTTTTGTGCGTTTGTGTGAAAAGTGAAACTATTATAAAAGTGCAACTAAAACTGTCTCCAATTTCTTAATCTAACCGCAAGAAGAGAATTGTCCTTTCAAACGCGCGCTTTAGGAAATGCATTGTCTTAAAGCATGTCACAATTCTTCTTAACTGTAAGGAGTTTCTCATTCTTACCTTATTTAAAATGTATGTATGCACATTTAATTGACTAGTGTTTATGGAGTGGCAATACATAAACATGGCAAAGTACTAGGCAATCGTATATACTGTAGCGCTCGCGGGTTCACGCGAGTATGAGCCCCCGCCGCTGCCGCCTCGGGTCAGCCCCCCACCGCTGGGGACTCGAACCCGGGCAGCCCGGCGGCTTCGGTCCCTGCTATTCCCGGGGAAGGGCGGTGGTATCACCGCGCTGGTATGCCGGCTCGCACATCCTGCACAACCTTTCGGCCGTATGCGTTACAATACTGTAGTGTTCTCCTGGAGTGAAGGGACTAACTTTCCCCCTATAATAACATGCCAGAGTCCCCTTTATCTCTGCTTTCGCCATGTGCTTCTCGGGTCTCTCTACTCGTCTCCCCGGTCTAAGATTCCAGTGATTAGCACGGCCCACTGTAAAATAAGAGGGCAATAAAGCCACCCTTCTGAGCCCCATGATAATACAATAATATTAACATTATTTTCTATCGTGCCTGTAAATGTAGCTTCTCAAAGCATTTCATTATCAAAGGGTTAACAGCTTTAAAAGTTTAAAATAGGAGATAAAATTAGCACAATTAAAGACAACGGTTTAGAATGCAGAAGGAGATGCAGGAAAGAGCCACAGACACCAGTTAAATACAGGCCTTTCTGACGAAGAAGGTTTGGAGCCCGGATTTGAAAGAGCTTAGAGAAGATAACCCCCCGATATCCTCGGGGTAGAACTCTGGAGATTTGGGCCACAGCAGGAGAAGGCCCTGTCACCTGCAGTATAGAATGTTTAAGAAGTATGCCTTAAGACATCTCCTCCAAATGATTGCCACCCAGACTGCTTACAGTGACCTGCACTGTGACAAGAAGCTTTCTCACTGGCACTATGTCCTGAGGGAACTGTATTTTATAGTATATAGCTAAATGAGGAGGCAGTCTGACTTTGAAAAAAGCTGTCCCAGAGCCAATATACTGATGACATTTTGAGCTATAGGGTGCCAGGACCCCTTTACCCCTACAATACTTTCTACATCTCCCAGGAGCATTGAGGTCCAAAAGTTCCCTTTTAGTTGTCAGGCCACAACAGTTTTCGCCCCACATTTGCAGCATCACGTCAGTGCTTTGTTGGTGTTTTTCAGTAATGGCTTCCTTCTGGCACTCCCATGACACAAGCCTGATCTGTGCTTGGGATATTGTTGTTACACTTTGACCAGTCTCGGCCATAAAAGCCAGTAGCTCTGTCAAAGATCCCCTTGGCCTCTTGGCAGTTTTCCGCTAAGTTTTCCGCAAGCTAACTTACTGCACTAAACTAAGCTGTAACGGGGGAAAAAAAACAACAACACAAGAGCCACAACAATCCCAATCCCCACCACAGTCAAATAAACAAAAACTGACAGATCTCGAGTTTACCAAGAACTACAAACCAACACCAGTCTCTCGAAAAAATTCGCCATAGTTTATTCCACACCTCTCTCGGGACGTCCCATACCGGCATTTTAAAACCGGACCACTCTCTTCAACCAATCCACAGAGAGATGCAATTTAGGGACACACCCACCTCCAAAAACGGACCCCCGCACAGGAGGGGAGTTAAAAGAAACAGCACGTAATATTGGTCATCCAGTTTGGACGGACAGGCTGATCCAGGCAGGGGTTCAGTGCTGCTATACACGTTCCACTTCTTAATCATCTTGGTTCTGCTTCCAGTCTTGCATTCTGTCTCGCTGGACGAAATTCGATGATATCCGTCCCTCGAGCCTTATAAACTCTGCCCCAAATTAAATATTTACTTCCCTGATTTCTTTCTCATAATGTGCTCTTCTGTCTCCCTCGAGAGGGGTATTAAAACCGTCTAGAAATCAAAAGCAATATCTTTATGAGATTACTAGAGATATATTCACAAGCCTGCTTGTTTATTCTGTAATAATAAGACAGCAACACGTCACCAGGAGGTTTGTCGCCTCGTTCTGAATTGCAGAACATGGTGCTGCGCATACCTGGAAATTTGGTCTATTTTGTGATGTAAATTGGAGGTTTTATACGTTATTGTGTACATTTTACTTGTGGTTTGAAATACGCTCATCAAGGCTGATTCTTTCTTATCCCGAATGATAAAAATAGCGTTACAGTTTCCTTTTAAGAGTCACATCCTCTTCGCTTGCATGTACTTTCCTAGACTTCAATTCACTTCCTTCCCCAGAATATTTATCTCAATATACAGTACATCTCAGAACTCTGTGTCACACACTACAGGCTCTAAGTTTATGAGTAGGTACTGTATATTACAGATGAGACCTTTCTTTATGTTTAGAACATGAGATTATATTGTGGTTGGAATACAATTTTAGTTGAATATTACAATATGTAATATGTATATTACAATACATTTTGCAGCAGAATGATAAGCGTTCTGTGTTCACCACAGATCATTTCACAGTTATATTCTATTGCATTTGCTGTTTGCAATGCATGTTTTAGCTATATCAATGAATTGTATATTGTATAGTTAGAATCCATGTGTGAGGCAATAAATTACTGTATGATGTTTGACTAGTTCCTAAAAGTGGTCAAATACTCTCGCAATTTGCTGTTACCGTTTCTCACAGTAATAATTTACTACAGCAAATTAAAACCCCCATCTTCGACAAAAGACCCCAGATTATCGGCTTCACAAGCTTGGCCTGGAATCTCAAGGAGCCCACAGCACACGCAGCTGCTCAGAATGTGTTTTCACAGGTTCTTTAACACTGATGAAGATAGAGGAGTGCTGAGACGTCCTTTTCTGTCTTCTGTCGTGATGGTGAAAAAACACAACTTGTGATCAGATTAATTTCGGACCTTCTGAGAGCAACTTTCATGGGCATTTCATGTTTTATTGTGATATAATTGAAACTTGAATTGAAGACTGACCGCCTATCTCTCTTTGTGAGTGTCACTGTCAAATTCAAAGAGATTTCTTGTCATTGTCAACGAAGTATGGTCAAAGCAAATACAATTACTAATCAATTGCAAACAGTTTACAACAATAACCCTATCATTGTTAATATGAATTGAAAAGCTCACTCTCAGCTCCTCAGGCTGTGAGACGAGATCACATACACTGCTGCAGCTCTACTGAGTTTCCTCAGTTCTAATTCTGGGATTCATTGTCTGTCCTCTCTGGAGAGCCAAGTCTACCTTTTCACCTATTGTCTATGGCCGGGTTGTGGTCACTGATCCTGTACTTCATCAGGGTCTGTTTCTCTTTGCTGCCTCTTACTCTGGTCAGACACCTGGCCAGTGTGTATAGTCTTTTTAGGGACTGGTAGCATTTTTTTTGTGTTGACTCCTGTTTGTGTTGTTGTGGCAGTACTGCGCTGGTGTCAGTGTTGCTCAGAGCAGTGAGTGAACCAACTAGCTGAGGTGCTTTCTAGGTCTGAGGCTGTAGAGTTTTTCTAGCAGCTCCTGTTCTGCGATCGGGGAGCCTTGTGGCAGCCTTGAAGCTGTAGAGTATCAAGCAAGGGAGAGGAGGTACATTAGTCTTGATTCTTCTATTGATGTCTTTTCAAGTTTAATTTTAAAATTCAAAAGATCAAGTGCCATCAGATACTTCAGGGTAAACAGAACTGAACAAGCCAAACAAGATTGAAAAGACATTTTGTTTCCAACATTCATCTCCATGCAGAAGATAGTTTAAATGTGGCACACTCCAAACATAGTGATTCTGGCTTTAAAGCTGTACATTACCCGTATAAAATACTGCGTATTTGAAAGTGTAATACAACCCAGTACCGTATATGGTAGTGAAGTGTGGTGTCCAATCACAAACCAGGACTACTGTAAATGGGACAGACAATTCATAGAAGCCCTGTACACAGAGTTCTATAAAAACATTCTCCACGTGCCTTGAAGCTGTTGAGTATCAAGCAAGGGGAAGGAGATACACTGCTCTAGATTGCTTTGTTTATGTAGTTTCCAGTTAGAGAAGGGTGGGGCTAGAATGTAATAGATCAGAGTAAAGAAGACATCAGAGACGACATTTAATTTTCATAATTTATTTCTTTGCAAAAGACAGTTTAAATTTGGATCAGCCCAAACCCAACACTGTGTTTGAGAAGCTTCTCAGCAAGAGACTGAAGTTTGAGCAGCCAGTAAGCAGCTCAGCTACAGTACATATACTTGGTTTGTACAGTGAGAGACTGAAGAAGCTGCTGAGTAGCTCAGAGAGGAGCCAGGCTTCTGCTCGTGTTGTGGTCTGTGGTAGTTTTACTTCCTGTACTGTAAAGAAAGAGTTAGGCAGTAGCTTTAGCCCTTATGGCTACATTTTTCTGTCTCCTGGGCAGACCTGTGTTAAAGTTCGCTACAGTAGGTACACAGCCCCCATCCTGGTGTGTTATTACTGTGGACTGTGTGATTTCTCTGTCAGTTTAGTTTCTCACCCATATTTGAAAACAGACTGATCAAAGAGGGATTTACAGGACAGTAGAGGAAAGTAATTACACTACTGGCCATAGAGACACAAGTGAAAGGCCACATACAAGAAAGTAACAACATTCAGTTCAGAGTTTTGTTGTGTTTTTATGGATTTTGGTGCAGTGTTTTCACAAACAGCAGCAGTGGAAGCTGCTCTCCCTGAGTGCCTGATGAGGAGATGACAGTGGAGCCTCCATTGAGCACAAGCAAAGCAGAACGAGAAACACTGTCCACAGCCTCTCCCTCTCTTCCTCTCTCAGTCCCTCTCACTCATTCTCT